TACAACGGCACGTGCTCCAGCCGCAAGAAATGCGCGAGCAATTCCAACCACTCCTTCAGACCTGATGTCACCTTTACCGGTGTGACAACAGCTCAGTACAACCAGTTGAGCACGAATTCCACTCTCCTGTGCTTCCTTTATGGTCAAGATGCAGTCCTCCTCATCTGCTGGACACGAATTCGTCTGAGGATTAGAAGGAGCCAAGAAGATCTGGCCATTTTTGTCACTGCCGTGAGCAGCAAAATGGATAACTGACACACCTTGTTTTAGTCTCTTCAAAATTACTTCTTTTGTTGCTTGTTTTCCTATCAATGGTTGAACACCGAGGAGGTYACCAATCTCGACAGCTTCTTTCTCTGCACCAGGTAAGTGAGGGAGATTTATTTCTCTGCCACGGTACATAACCTTTCCAGTTGTAGGGTTTCCAATGATCAGCGCCCCTGACTTGAATGAATGAAATGTACGTCAACGTTAATAGTCTCCTTCACGGATACCTGCGCCATCTTGAAAGGTAGCCGTACCTTTGCACCGAAGCGAGACGACCGTTGAGCGTGCAATGATAGATACCTGTGAATAATTGTCTGTAGGTGTGAAAGAAGGTTTCTATCATTGCACGCTCAACGGTTGTCTCGCTTTGATGACAAGGCACGGCTACCTTTCAAGATGGCGCAGGTAACCGTGAAGGAGACTATTGTGATAATATTTTTCATGTGCAGTTTCAGTATGGGAATTACACTTTTTCATTCTAAAAAATGTTATGGTTTGCGGTTTCCTGGATAGAATTTCGAAAAWTGAGCAAACTGACTGAAAAACAACTGAATAAGGTATTTAATCTTTCAATATCTGGTCGTATAGCGAAAAACTTCTCTCGGTCTTTCAAACTGACCACGTATATCAAGAATATATATCAGGTTCATGAACGTCTATTTCAAAAATAACGTCCATTTGTCACTCCTGTCCTTTGGGGGGATTATAAATGGAAGTTCTCGATTCGTTAAACAGCATTGCGCTTCCGAGAAGGGTCGTATGACTTCCATACATGGTTGTGCATATACACGTACTAGGTGATGTACACATAGAAGGCTGATGTCACAATTATGTAAAAAAGAACTAAGAACATTTTCAAAGACTTAAACATAAACTGAAAAGAAGTTTTTGTGGTACGCGTATTAAAGATTCGAAAGAGGGCTATTGCCTAACTCCTATATTTTGCCTAAASCTAACCGTTAAGCCATGAGATCAATTTGCTTGATTTTTGTGATATTTATGCAACGGTATTCATGAATAAAGACGTACTGTATACGTACATAAGATTGCATATATATAATTAATGAACCTACTATAGTGACATGAAAACCTTCTATGTGCACATGAGATCYATGCATATATGGAAGTCATACGACAGACTCTACTCGCGCTTCCATCAAGTAATTTYACACCATTSCAAATTGACTATTCTCAAAATTCCAGTACGARGGTATAAATAGAATGTTTATTCTTTTGTTTTCTATCCTACGAACGAGGCTATTCCTTCCTGTGCTGGAATTTTAAGAATARTGAMAAACGCTCTCGAAATAAGACTAACACTGTTGCGATTATCGCGGTTTTTGTCTTGATGCTAGTTCTCTAAGGCCTTGTTTTC